GGTTCGCATCTGTATATATAATTTAATTATCCACAAGAATTATAACATATGCAATCGAGATTTTAAAATTAAGACTATTTATATGACAATATAGTAACATTCATTAATCAGATCTATCATATTTTATGCCAAAATTCTGTATTCACTTATATCATCATCAGTAACAGGTTTCATCCCAATAGAAGTGAAGCAGCAGCATCGAGCCAGGATTCCAAGTTGGATGGATCGTTTTAGAAATATACGATGATATCAAGATGAAAGATGTTTCATAACTTTCTCTTATTTTTTTAATTTTTTTCATTTTTTTCACTTATTTTCATAAGAGTGTCACGTATATTATAGATTTTCAGTACTAGCAATCAATATCGGAACGCATCTATAATCTACTGAAAACTTCCCGTTTTTATCCTTTCCTAATACTGTCATCATTTGCTGCGAATATTCGCGGCGAAATTCCATGGTGTTACCCCGGACATAGGAATGTACTTAGAACGTACTTAGTCGATCGCAGTACGTATGAGAATATAATATTTTGAGATGATCGCAATATACGTATCAGAACATACGTGTGCTATTAGGGAGGTTGTACAGATTTGAATATATATTATAATAAATTGCAATAATAATTTCTATGATATTCATATTCAAAACCAATATAAAACTAGTATTAATAATGACCAGTATATTAATAGTTTTTGATGGAATACAATCTGCCATAATTATTATGTACAAATATTAATGCGAAAAAGTATTGAATCGGAAACCTAAACTGGAAGTCGAATTCCTGGTACCTTTCGATTTCTGAACAACTATTCTTCGGACCAAGTTATTCAGATCCTTCAACTTGATGCCTCTCCTTAAATATCTCTCTTTTATTTAATATCTTTTTCTAAAATTAATAAAATACACAAGATAGAGGTATTTTTTGATAGTATGTATTTAAATCTTTATAACTTTGGAAAGACTTATAAAAAATAAACATAGTTAGCTTTTGAAAAGATTTCGAGGTCAAATACAAAATTATGGAATAGAAAATCAAGAATTCATTCATAGATTATAAGGTAACTTTGATCTTTAAAATGTAATTTCAAGATTATGCTTAGAACAAGATCATTTTTTCTCGATGAGTCGATCTTTACGTGAAATAAGCTAGTTCCAGAATGAAAAATTGGCGAAAACACGAGTTTATGATTATAAAATATTCAAAGACAAAATAATCAACAACAATTTAGATCATTATCAATCATAACAATTTAGATCTTTTCTAGATCTAGGTTACAAATATATGCGTATCGAATTTAAAATATTTTATATTTTACATGCGATGCCCAGCATATTAATTTAAATGTGATTATGCGTGCAGCGTTCATGAGGGACAACTAAAATCAGTTCGAAAACATCTATACGCGTAGATAACTCTAATTTATAGGACAATGATTGATTACGCCTGTGCGTGTTCGATTCGCGGCCTTAGTCGCAAATTTCAAGTGGTATAACACTATTCGATTACACGTGAGGTGCGACCTCTACGGGCCGTACGTGAATTTATCAATGCGCAGTGGTTCGATGAGCGGATTGGTAATATTGACCAGCTCAACGTATGAGACCGTGATGATATATTCGCGGATCTAAAATATAATCAGTCAATATGATGCAGTCGCTCAATGTATACTTTTGGATAGGATTTATATATGGATCAGCGAATGTGGCCGAGAACATCCTGATGAAAGAAAAAAAATGGTTGTAACCCGAATGCTATCACGACGATAAGTCTTGCATCTCGACATAGCAACGATTCTTGCATTTCCGCTACGCCGGGAATGCAAGACTGCAAATTCTTAAGCCGAACGTAAACGAAAGACACACTGCTTTAACTATATATGATCTGATTAATAGTTATAACGCACTGAAACGCAACACTGTGAAATATTAAAAATCGATTGCTTAATCACCGACAGCGGGCAGTCGTAATTAGTAACAGCAAGAGTCACACGTATTTTTGTTTAGAAACCATAATTAATAAACCAGTTAATCATTAAAAGTGAGTGATAATACTTGACCAGAAAAACTTTCCATCTTGCTCAAACTTCTAACTCCTTAGGCTCGGCGAGCCCGACTTTCCCTAAAATTAATCTTGTAATCCATCCGGGGTACAATAATGATCTCTTTCCTTTCTCACTATTAAAAGTTTTCTGTGTCGGTAAATCGATTCTAAGAAGTATCGGTAACACCTTAGCAGAGGACAAAGAATATCCTATTTCATGTACTTATCTCATCAAAGTTTCAAAAGAAGATGGTGCGGAATCAACTGCCGGAAATATTTTGGCGAACACAGAAAATATTCTATCTTCTTTTTTCGTTTGGGATCGGAAAACGATTGGCAAATCAGCTTCAGAAGAATTGAATCTGTTGCGCAATACAGTTGATTCGAAATCGGCTAGAAAAACGGAATCGGAGCCAACAGTATTGATTCGGTGCCAGTTTGCACTCAAATTTCTTGATTCATTAGAAGCAATCCTTCTTATACCAGAATTGATTTGATTTTAGTTCGATAGTAATCGGATAGAATTCGATAATAATCGGATAGAATCGATTCTGATATGCAAGGTGCCCTGCCGATCAAAGATATTCGATTGCGATCGATGAGTTTCAGTGGCATACCAACTCGACTTCTTTCTATCATTGTTCGATCACGTTTAGATCTCTAAGCGACTGGTTCGCGTTGTCAAATCTTAGGCTTATTCTCAAAGTTTTTAAACTATCTTATTATTTCGTATTTCATAGATGATAGATTCAGAAAAAATGCATCGTTCTTTAAGAAACAAAGAACTTTTGTTTAAAAAGATTTTCTGTTAAAACTTACAGGTTTTGAGACATTTGAGTAGTTAAATTGAGTAGTTAAATTAAACTGAGCCAATCTATATATAGTAGTATAACAAATATTTCTACAAGGAAAGAATTTGACAAATCTTGTAATTATCAAAAAAATTTGGAAAAAAGTTAATATTTTAAGGATGAATTATTAATAACACACCATAAAATCGCATTCATGAACGCATGATATATATACACATATACATAACACTGCTCAACAATGATTTGCGTGGTCCCGCCGGAGCTTTAACTTATCGGCATGATTTACTCAGGCAGGGTATCGATAATGTCGATATTGCTGAATGCGGGCGCGCTGCGGAAAGGTGCACATCGAAAGGTACACATGCAGTAATAAACAATAATAAAAATAATAATTAATCCTTTATTTGTTTCATATTTTTTTCTTTTTTAATTTAGAAATGCATGAATTATATCTCCATTGTGTTACAGGTCGTATGCATTTTTATATTTATCTGTAGAAATATATATTTCGTAATATATGCGTTTTGAATTATACATTTATTCAAATAAATATAAACTACAACAAACTAATAAATAATTATAAGGAAATGGAAATTTGAGCAATCTGTTGGAAAGATGATAATAGCAAATAATTATACAAGAATACTAGATCGATTACTCGGATACGCATAATTTTATTTCTAATAAAAGAATATCTTTGAGAAACTTGTTATTAATTTTAATAAATTACCTAATTATCTTAATTTCAATCTCTTTCAACATTATTGATGTTATCGACTCTGCCTGAGTAAATCAAGCCGACAGGTTAGAGCTCCACGCGAATCATTATCACGCAGTGTACATAAAGAAACATAATTCTAGTTAGTTCCTTTATAGTTCCCTCTAATCCCTGGCATATTATATAATCTAAATATCGATAATACAATAATTTTCAGACTCGTAGAAGAAATATTAGCTCAATCATGTTGAACATATCTAAAAAAAAGTTAAATAAAGTATATAATAAAAAATTTTTATTTAAAAATTTAAAATAATCTCCACACGAATTATCTTACTTTTGCGCTCTGCAACATTATATAAATGTTATTTTTAAATATCCTTTTCAAAATTAAACAAATATATTTTAAAATATTTCTTACTATGGTGTTATATTAGAATAGTAAAAACAAAATGTAGAAAATGTAGAATTTGTTAGAGCCAATTAGGAGTCGGCAGGAATGACGGGCTAACTCCAACTTAATCTAAAATGATTATCTATCCAAGTAACAAGATGACGTCATAATGATGTCACTTAAGTAGTCATTATGATGTCATCTTGCTACTTGGGTACTCCTTATTTATAGTGCAGATATGTATTTATATAATGTATCTGATATGTATCAATTATATTTTGTCTTATAGAAACGATGTTTTATCATGAAACTTTGTTAAGATAATTTCTTTTAATTATGAAGTTACAGAGCCAATTTTGCAATTTAGCTCTAAAATAATTAAAATAAATGTAACTATCTACCTCTTATTTACATTATAGTGCAGATATATATTTGAGTATACCCATATATCATTTCGTAGAAGCAATATTCTGCCATGAGCCTTTTTCTACATATTTTTTATAAAATTATGACTCTTACTACAGAGCCAGATTTTGCAATTTGGTTCTTAAAAAAAAAATTACAATAGATGAAAATATTTGTACCTCATTGTCCTATAGTGCAAATCTATTTACATTAAATGAATTATTTATTTTCACACATTTTCTTACAAAAATCGCTCTATAGCTTTCGTCAGGCAAATATTTTGATTATAAATATCATAATTATATAGCTTTTTTCGCAGTATTTTGGCTGTAATATGGGTGAAAAGGAATTCATCTCCGATAGAGGTCTCCACAATCTCTCCTGCCGACCCTTAGCAGAAAAATGGAATATTACAAAAAAGTATGATAGTTATCAATACAATTCTGATTCCAATAAATTCTGCTTTTCTGCATTTTATTTTTTTCTTAATGTTAATCAAACAGATAAAATGATTTAATTCTACTTGTCAACTGCATATAGAAGACACGTAAAAAATTAAGACCTTTTTAAGAAAAATTTCTATTTTTTTCATCATTTATTTAGATTCTAATATATAAATATGCTTACCATTGTGATGAGCACGCAGCTGATTCTGACAAATTTTGTTTAAGTAAAGCTTCTCCCAATTCATTTAATTCTTCCAATGCTTTCGTTTTGCTGTCTATTTTTTCTCATCAATGCTAATAATTTCATCTATAAACAATATATATATATATATATATATATATATATATATAT